TCGACGCCCGAGCGCGAGCAGCGATGCCTGCGCGCAAGCAGCGACGCCCGCGCGTGCATGCATCGACGCCCACATGCACAAGCATCGACGCCAGCGCGCATGCATCGATGCCCGCGCGCGAGAGCATCGACGCCCGCACGCAAGCATCGACGCCCGCACGCGCATGCATCGACGCCGCGTGCATGGATCGATGCCCGCGCGCGCATGCATCGGCGCCCGCCCGCGCAAGCATCGACGCCCGCGCGCATGCATCGACGCCCGCGCGCGCAAGCATCGACGCCCGCGCGCATGGATCGACGCCCGCGCGCGCATGCATCGGCGCCCGCGCGCATGCATCGACGCCCGCACGAGCAAGCATCGACGCCCTCGCGCGCATGCGTCGACGCCCATGCGCAAGCATTGACGCCCGCGCGCGCAGGCATCGACGCCCGCGCGCGCAGGCATCGACGCCCGCGCGCAAGCAGCGCACGCCCGCGCGCGCAGGCATCGACGCCCGCGCGCAAGCAGCGCACGCCCGCGCGCACAAGCAGCAGCTGTGGGCTGCTTTTACCCTTGCTGTGCACCAAAATCCGTTTTTTGAAAAAACNGAGTTTAGTATTGAACTAGCACCAGGAACAGCACCCATATCTAAAGCCCCTTACCGAATGGCCCCAGCAGAGCTTCAGGAATTAAATAAGCAACTTCAAGAGCTTTTAGATAAAGGTTTTATCCGACCGAGTCATTCTCCCTAGGGAGCTCCAATTACAAACAAAGACGGGTCACTACGGATGTGTATTGATTACAGAGAACTAAATAAAGTGACAGTGAAGAATAAGTACCCGTTACCTCAGATAGATGATTTGTTTGATTAGTTGAAGGGAGCAACAATATTCTCCAAAATTGATTTGAGGTCAGGGTACCATCAGGTAAGAGTGGCCAAGCAGGATATAGCTAAGACTGCTTTCTGTTTAAGGTTTTGGCATTATGAGTTCGTAGTGATGCCGTTTGGCTTTACTAATGCCCCAGCAGTTTTTATGGATTTGATGAACCAGGTATTCCGTGACTATCTAGATCAGTTTATAGTAGTATTCATTGATGATATTCTGGTTTATTCCAAGTCGAGAGAAGAACATGAGGAACATTTGAAAATAGTGCTACAACGGTTGAAGGAAAAGTGGTTGTATGTTAAGTTTTCTAAATGTGAGTTTTGGCTCAACCAAGTAATATTTCTGGGCCATACGGTGTCCAAGGACAGGATTTCAGTAGATCTGAGTAAGGTAAAGGCAATCCTTGAGTGGCAGAGGCCGAAGACAGTAAAAGAGTTAGAAGTTTCTTAGGCATGGCAGGTTACTACAGACGATTTGTTGAAGGGTTCGCCCAGTTGGCTAAACCATTGGCAGCTCTTACCAAACAGAAGACTCATTTTGTATGGTTCGAAGCATGTGAGGAATGTTTCCAAGAGTTGAAGAAGAGGTTAACAACAGCTCCCGTGTTAGTGTTACCACATGAGGGTGTAAATTATGACATTTATACAGATGCCTCTCTGCAAGGACTTGGTGCAGTGTTAATGCAGTTAGGTAGGGTGATAGCATATGCCTCTCGACAATTAAAAGAGTATGAGACAAGATACCTTATGCATGACCTAAAATTGGCAGTCGTTATCTTCGCATTAAAGATTTGGAGGCATTACCTTTATGGTGCAAAGAGTAACATCTATACTGATCATAAGAGTTTAAAGTACTTCTTCACTCAAAAGGAGCTGAATATGAGACAGAAAAGGTGGTTAGAGCTGGTTAAGGACTATGATTATGAGATCAAGTATCAACCGGGGAAAGCTAATGTAGTAGCCAATGCCTTGAGTAGAAAAGCTTATTTGTCCCGGCTCACTAAGCAGAAAGAGTTGATAGAAGAATTATGTAGAGAACAGATTGAAGTGATTCTGGGAAGGATTGCAAGGTTAGAGGTTCAGTTTACTTTATTGGAGGAAGTCAGAGTTAAGCAAGTGGCTGATGAGTGGTGTCAGAAAATAGTTCAGCAAGTACATGAGGGCAAGGTAACAGAGTTCCATTTAGTGGATGGTGTCCTCTATTTCAGAAATTGGTTGTGTATCCCTCAAAATGATGAGTTAAGAAAGAGAATTCTTATGGAGGCTCATGACACACCATACACTGCTCATCCTGGAGCAACCAAGATGTAAAGAAAGGCTACTGGTGGCCAGGTATGAAGAGAGACATTGCAGAGTTTGTAGCTAAATGCTTGACTTGTTAACAGGTAAAAGCAGAACACCAAAGGCCGTCAGGGTTGCTTCAGCCACTTAGTATTCTAGAGTGGAAATGGGAGAGTATTTTGATGGATTTTATCATAGGTCTCCCTACAGTACAGAGAGGATATAATGCTATATAGGTGATTGTGGATAGATTAACTAAGTCTGCCCATTTCCTCCCAGTAAAGGGGAGCACCACTATGGATCAGTTGGCTCAGATTTACATTAAAGAGATAGTCAGGTTGCATGGTGTGCCCA